AAATAAGTGAACATCCAAAATGTACATAGGATATTGTTAGGAGTTTCTTTTCTTATTACATGCCATACAATAAAAAAGTTTTAAACCGATATACAACTAATTTTTCGATTTTTTTGTTGAACAAAAAAATGTGGGTTTGGCATTCCATCCTTCTGTTGTGTGTTGGCAGTTTTATTGGACAGGTAAAAAATATCCAAGCTATTACTTTGAAGTTTTAGGTGTACTTTAAAATTATAGTTTAGCATCAAAGTTTGCAATTTATGTAAACATGCTCGAAACTCTTATCATTACTCACGAATTCCAGAACTTTAACTAAAATTTATCTATTCAACTGAAAATGTTATTAAATAAATACGCCCAGAGATGTGCCGCTGTTTGTGATTTAGTAACACAGGCTTTTATTTTTAGAAGTGCGGATGCAAGATGTTTTTAAAAAACGATTGTATAAACAGATTTTACAATTGATTTCAGAAACGGTTTGTATAATTGTGTCCAACTTTGGAAACAATGTAACGTTACAATTTGTTTTGTATTATAAATATAAAATTCAATATATTTATTTATATCGCCTGAAAGAAGGCGACGAAACTCAAAAAATTATTGTAGGAATCTAATTAGACAAATTCTCTAGTTAGATAGGGTATAATCTGAAAAATAAATAACAAAACATCGATTATCTTGAAAACGGTCCATTAAATGTATTGATAACTACAGACAAAAAAACATGTGACATCTCCCTATACCGTTGGTTTAAAATCGCATGGAAGATAATAAAATTTGGCAAATGACCTACTCTCTAAGAAAATGAAGGGCAAGTGTATTGGGCTGTACTTACCAAGATAAGACTAATTTTGCCAAATGACATACCCTCTAAGAAAATAAAAGATAGAGGGTATATCATTTGGCAAAATCAGTTTTATCCTGGAAAGTACTAGCCCCGCCCACCCGCCCTTTATTTTCTTAAGGGTATGTTATATGGCAATATCAGTCTTATCTTGGCAAGTACTAGGGCCGCCCAATCGCTCTTTATTTTCCTAAAGGGTTAGTACTTGTTAAAGTAAGACTCATTTTGGCAAAGACATACACTATAAGAAAATCGAAAGAGGGTGGGCGCTAGCACTGGTTTTGATATTTTCGACCATTCTTTAACCTTTTTCGAAAATTAGCTAAAAACATTTGAAATTCATTTTTAATCCGAATTTTCCGAAGATTTCTAATCATCCGTTATAACTCTCGGATCACCACATTAAAATCTACATTCCAGATTTTTTTGAGAATGTTTGGACAACTTTTCCATCCGCTAAATTTTGACATTTTCAACAATTTTTCAACCATTTTCGAAAATTGGCTGAAGACATTTTCTACCATTTTTCCAAAATCGCCAATTGAAAAATGGTAATTTTACAGTTCTGTCAAAATAGCTCGGTTTGAAATTTTTATAGATAAAAAAGGGAGTTATTATTAGTTTTTGTTTCAGAAAGTACAGCTGTTTTAAAGATGTACTTTGTGGTTTTCATATGTTCACAGAAATGTTTAAAATTGGTTTCGTTAAGACAATAGTGAGTTCAGGACAGGTCAGTCATGTTAGGTCAAGTCAGGTCAAGTGCACGAAATAAGAAATAAATTTTATAGCAAATATTTAGTATAACAAAACAGATAATTAGCCCCGCCCACTCACCCTGCCTCCATTTCAGTGGTTGATTTTAGTCGGTCTGAATGAAATGAATGATCTTACGCTGAAGAGAATTAAAATTAGTCGTTAGGATGATCTTCCAAAGTACGTACTCGGGATTAATGTTAGAAGAAAGTTGAATTCTGTTTTTAATAAACTTAATGAAAAAATTTGCGATCATTGTTCCCTTTTCTTTAAAGCCCTATTTTTAATGCATTATATACATATAAACGTACACAGACTCTGTCAGATAAAATACATAATTCAAATAATTTTGAAACTGTCAATAGCACATGCTTTAATAATAATGGTATGCCGTAGCTTGTTTTCTGTTTTCGGGATTTTTTTTAAGTGTAAAAGATTTTTAAACGACACTCCATCGGAGGTTAAGAACAAATATTCTGTGAATAGGTACATGCGGCAATTCCTATTTTTTTTTAATTATATTTATCGTTAGAAAAAAATAAATAAATCTCGCAAATCTCAAGTGTTCATTTTGGCAAAACGTGACTGAAGTGACCAAGTAGAAGGATACAACTCCATCCTTGTAAAAAAAAATATTTGTATCGTGACAAGGCAATGATTTACTGAAGTCGTCGTACTAAAAATAAAAACAAAAAAATATATATAGAAGCGATATTATAAAATATTGGTTAAAGCCAGTTTATTAATAGTGACTTAAAATATTTACTCTAAAAAGGAAGCCGCTATATATTATTGACTTTATTTTAAGTTAATTTATTGTTGTATAATTTTTTACATTTTAGCTAAATTTGCTAAAAATATTACAAACTGTCACTAATTGTAAGTTTTATAATGTCTAAAACACGATTAACGTTTTCTTTGAAAACAAAATTACCTAAACTCAATTAAGGCATCTTATTTTATATTACACTGTCATTACAAAATTATCTACTGTTACGAGAGCGCATAAATGAAATGGATAGATAATCTTGTTTTGCTGACTTACAGCGAATTGTTCGACAATAATAGTGGCTTTGTTTTAGTTGCTCTGTAGCAGGTGAAGTTAATTTTGAATGCATGATTTACACTGCATTATCTAAATTAGTCAGCATCTGCTGTTATAATTACAATGGACTGGTCTTTTGATTTTCCACTATCTCAAAAAAAAAATATGTTTAGAGTGTGCTATTTAAATATTTTCACACTTTTACTGTGAACTCATTACTGATTAGTAAATTATTATATCGTTGTTGTAAATGCACTTAAATAATCATTTTATTGCATCATACATCAGTAGAGCTGAGAAAAAATGGATACTTTATTTGTTAACAGATGTCAAAATATCTGCAAATTAATGATGCAGTTTTCTTATGATTTAAAAAATATTTATATTTTTTGATACACTTAATCAATGGAACTTGAATGAACAAAAAAACAGTATATAAGTTATACAACAGATTTCACATAGTATGAGTTATAGTTACAAACTGCTTTTTGTCGTAACAAAATACGATATTTCATAATTTTTTTAATTTTACTAAAATATCATGAGATTAGGAGCAAATTCATAATATACTTTGACCAGAACTCTTATGAGGAGTCTGCCTCAGGCGTCTAATTCTTTTCCACTAATTCTTATGAGGGCTTAACCAACCACTGTTGTAAATTTTTCTACTTACCCCGACCTCTGTATTGAGTAATACAGATGGCAGTAAAATTTTCATTACAGTCTATCTCGAGAAATCCCCTCCCAGCCATCTCGACTGCGGCAAATTTACAAGGGTCTTTAGTTAGCCCTCATAAAAATTAGTTGAAGTCAATAGACGCCGCACAAGAGTTCTGGTCAAAGTATAGATATCTATATGGTAATAAATCTTTTCTAAAACTTTTTGCTTTTGTTAATGTGGTGATACTTTGCACTACAAATGACTGCACTATTTAAATTCGGGGTAGTTACCATGGTACAAAAAGGTTTTCTTGTACCATAGGAGTTACATAATCTATGTAGTATTTTATCTGTGGTTTAGTAAAAAGGGGGCCAATGTCTTTATGACCACTTTTATAAATATTTATATTTATGTAATTTTATAGTGGTCATACTCATAACGTCAAACATATTAATTTTTCGTATCTCGACTTGACATTCCCGCAAGGACCCGTCTTTGATCCTGCAACATTTATATTTATTGATATGCGGCAAGACAGCTTCTAGAAAACGAAAGTGTTGATTTCCCGTTTCTGACTCTCTGTCGTACTTTTTTTTATTTGTACCTAAATATTAATTATAATACCTAGTTTTTATCCTGAAAAATTAGCAGAGTCATAATTTCCAATTTATTTAAGAAATTATATAATGTACTTCTTTTTAAAAAAATAATAAAACTTCAACTTAAATTGATTTAGTGATTAACAAAATTTTGTTAATTCATCTCCTCCAAAAAACTGGTGATATAATCTCGAAATTTGATCGAGTACACCCACTTGAAACGGATATTTCCTTAACTTCACTTTAACCCTTAATTTTAGCTTTAAGCATGTACAGATTACTGAAAAAGTAAAATATTTTTTTTTTATCTTGAGTTGTATAAATCAACTTTAGTGAATAATAAGTACTTTTACAATAAATATAGAAACAACATACAACGTATGGCAAAGGCATGAAACCGGTCAAATATTTCAAATCACCTTAAATTTTGCATAGATTTTCCCACCTCCACTAACATTCATGTGTTTTTTAAGTTGCAGCACAGAATAAATATGACGCCATTGGATGTACAGTTTCTTGTTTTTCTGATTTCAATCATATGTTATACGTCATTTTTTTATTTTGTTTGAATAAAAAATGTTGCGTTAAAGCAAATTTGCTACAAATGTTAATTAATAATTATCTATAATAATCTGACTGATTAAAGTATCTACTGTGCGATTAATTTAGTTCTCAAGTTGAAATCCAGCCCTGCGCCAATAAACTGCTCATGAATAAAGACAACGATAAAGCGTACTTTGCAGTCAATTAAAATAAATAAACTCCCTCAATCAACATTAAAATAATAAAAAAAAAACAACCTCTTTTTTACAACAGATGCTCAAATAAGGTCGTTAAAATAAATTCTGTTGCTCTTTCTGTTTAGAAGGTCCGGGATTGAGTGCCTAAAATCTTTAGATCGTTTTTTCAAAAGTATGCTCCCAAAATTAAAAGTAAAAATTGAGGTTTTATATTCTTAAATTAGATGTTAACAGTGTCTAGGATTGCGACTATCTTACTTATGTATACAAGCACTCACACACTTAAAAATTAGTGCATGTTTATATATCAAATTTCTCCAACCACTCAGAATCTTTATTTAGCCTGTATTCTGTTTAGGTGTTCGTCTTCCGGAAACCAGTTTACCTCACGATCAAGGAGCGCCTGAAAACCCAGGGCATCTCTCATCTGGATAAAGTGGAACTGGGACAGTACTTCAGCCCGTGGTTCGCGGAACACATGGGACAGATCAAGGTGGCAAGTGGCAATAAAACGGTGGAACAATGGGCAGCGTCCAAATTACGCGTCCACTACTACATCTTCACATACCCTACACTGTTGAAGATCCACGGTGATACGCAGCTGCTGGCCGTCCTCAACGATTTGCTTCAAAACGAAGCCCTTCTTCAAATGGGGATGAAAACTCTCGCGCCAGCGTTCAAAGACCCACAGAAACGAAAGTTTTTCACCGAAGTGTTGGACAACTTTTTGAAGTTGTGGGAGAGCAATTTATAGAGTGCATCCTCTTTTTGTGATAACGTTGTGATAAAGACGCCTACAAGGTTGGAAGCCTTGAGTAAGAAGGAAAGGAGTGTGTGAGATTATCACTAAATGATTCTGTTAACTAATGAGTTTATTGCGTATTAGAAACAATACATTTAATTGGTCCTCTATTCTAGTTTTTATTGTTTGCAATCGGAATGAGGATAGTTAGCGATTCGAGGCGATTTCACAACGTACATTCCACAATATCTAGCCAACATATTTATTTTTATACTATAAAAAATTATTTTAATACTCAAACCAAATATGTAAAGTTTTGTAAAAACTAAAATAAAACGTAAGTAAGTAATAAAAATCAAGATCCTAGTCGATGCACTTTGTTTGTTATGGAAAAACACTTAAAACCAAATGAAGTGTAGAGTGTACCATACCAAAATACGAAATCACGTCTGTATCTCCTGATTATAGTTTAATAATTTATTTAGATATGTTATGAAATTTTATGTAGTAACCCGCTAATTTTTCGAACGCATCATATTGCACTCGGTTCTCATTCTGAATTACAAACAAAAAGTGTTAGCGTCATGTCAATCAAACTTTTTAAAAATGGACATCTGTACTCCCGCCTGAAGATCTCTACTAACTTTTTTACTGTTCACAACCATTACCAAAGGAGTCTCCACCCGAATCAATGTAAACTTGTATTTCTGTAAATAAATCATTAAATAAATAAAGTAAAAAAGAGCCAGCAACAACTTGGTTTACATTTTCCTTGTAGGTAAAGTTGACGTCTGTGACATAGGGTTCCGGAATGGCTACAGAATTTCCAATAATAACACCTTTGCCATCTGCCAAATTGTAAACGGTAACGACGACACAAGTTCCTACTTTATCTACTAAACAAAACGTACTAAAAACCATGTAGATAGTTATTTTAATAATGTAATAATTTATATCAAATAAATATATTACAATGGTACAGAATCCTCATTATGGACGGTACACACTACTTTGCCTAATACCACTTTTTCCTCATTCAAACCCGATTTTAAGGTATTTAGTGAGATCTCATCTAGCTTTACTGTCTGTTGGGTAGTTGTTGAAGTATAGCTCCCACCTCCATATGGCCCTAATTGTTTTGAATCAATAGACTAAAATAAAGAGTTATATAAAGTCCAGGAAGCAGAATTTTGCCAAAAAAGTTAATATTCGAATTTTAAAATGAAACTTTCATTTCTGCTATATCAGTAAAAATATAACAAAAACAATAGTCATTTATTGAAAATAAAAACAATGTTATGTACCTGTAAAATTTGTTGCAAGCGTTTTGCTTTCATTTTTCCACAAGTTGAAACTAATTCATTAATCTCATTTAAATACTTTACAAGCTGCCTTTCTTTCATCGTTGGCTGTTCCCATGTTGGATCATATAGGGCAGCTTTATTAAAGGATTCTAGTGCTAGTTCATATTCTTCTTCGTACTTCAAAGTCTAAAAATACATTAATAAAGAACTACAAATATGTGTTGCACTTACAATTCCTTTATTATAATGTAAGTCTGGTGTACTTTTGGCAACTATATCCTTCTCCTACAAAAAAATTAATAAATAAAAGACAAGACATATTTTCTAAAGCACAATAAAACATACTGCTTGAGAATAGGCACTTAAGCATTGCTTCAGTATTTTAGGGTTTTGTTGAATTCCAAAAAAAGATGACAAATGTGCGTTTCCAAGTACAGCCCAAGATAATCCATCATGAGTATCTAATTGAACAGCTTCCTTTGCATAAGATAAGCCCTTTTCTATATTTTTAATTAAATCATCTCTGCTTTTTGAACTTTCTTGCCGCGCCAACATGGAGAGATTCCTTAATGATATTTTATTTTTTTGCTACAAAATTTGTCATTAATATAGATTTCAAAAGTAATATAGTATTTACTTCTTTTAAAGCTCCTTCAAAGCAGTTCGTCGCTTTCTTCAGTTCATCATTTTTCCAAAAACATTCACCTAGTTCATTCCATGCTTCGACTGATTTCGGATCTAGTTTGACAGCCTTTGACAGAAGGTTTTCTGCCTCTTTACTATATTTAGGAACAACGTTTAAAAGTCTGCCTCTAAGAAAATTATACCTAGCCCTATCACATTCTGCCACACTACTCTCATTCTCCTTAAAGTCACCTAAAATTTCAGCTAGTTTTTTTTCGATTTCACTATTCTTTTGAATGGCGTCCTCAATTTTATGGTTCTCGAAATAATGATCCCTGTATAAATATAGCCTATTAACTTTTTCCTGTAATAAAATCTGATGAAGCACCACTCCTTTTAAGGGATTAATTGTAGGTGGGCACACCTGGTTAAAATGATCTCAATTGAACGTACCTGCAGTGAATAAATCACATCTTCGCTTGATTTTTTAAGTGTGTCACCACTGTTATCCATTATTTTTTGCTATTACCATTCAATACTCTAATCATTTCACGTTTGAGTTTTTCACGAGTTTTTGTTGTTTTGACGTTAGAGGTTATGTTGTTTTATTGTCAGTCGATCTGTCACCTGAACAGTGGAAAGGGAAACACATAGGCGTAGTGTTGAACAGATTAACAGGTGCGTTGTAGAAATCATATAAACCTATTTTTTCAGTCCTCTTTTTCCATTAACACTGAAAGAAAAAATTAGAAAACGTAAATAATTTTTGGTGAGAGAATCTCTATCTGGCTTAATTTAGTAATGTTTCAGTAATAATTAATTTTATAGTTAAAAAAAAATATCCCCCATTATTATGCTAAAATTAAAGCTTCATGCGTTATTTATCTTAATTTTGATGGCCCAAATCGAGCCTTCCTTGTCTTAATTTTGACAAAATGACGATTTCTCAAATCAAAATAGATGTTCGAAAATTAATTTCTATAAAAAAATATTTAACATCACTAACAAAACAAACTGTGTAAATCTAGACAACAACAATACAACAAATTAACAAAAGCAGGTAAATAAATGATTACATATTTCACCTATGTCGTATTTTATTCGTCCTATTTAAATTTAACGTTAGGTTATTAGTATGAGAAATACAGATGTACATATGTATAGTCTTTGCCATTTCTATTGAAACACCACTTGTTAAGCGTAAATTTGGCAACGTTCATATTCAGACAATTTTCTAACTAAAAGCCGTTGTCAATCAACCGAAAGCTGTTATCAATTGCTAAATTTTAAGCAAAATCAACAGGTGGTGTTTCAATAGAAATGGCAAAGACAGTAGGTATAATTCGGAGTTTCGAATTATATGGATGACAATAAAATTTTTTAGTAAATGTCATAATGATCATGAGCGTCTTTAGTTAACTAAATTAATATATAACGCTTAAATGATGCTTTATATCACCTAATTTTATTGCAGTTATAAAGCTATAAGATATACCAGAACTTAGGGGCGAACAATTCCACACAGTACAACTAATGACAAGAAAAAAATAAAGTTTGACGAAAGATATAGTGCAGTTATGACTTCATCGTCATATTGTAATTGTAAGAGTAAGAAGTAAAAATTATTTCAATAAGGCGCGTGGACTACCTAAACGTCTGGTAAAGTGCCATTGCTTGTACTTATTGCAGTTTATGATGGATCCTCTATAAATTACGAAGTTAAAGTTATAAACGCGCTATATTTTTAGTCAAATTTATGTCAGTTCCTGGATTATGTAAACTGATCCAAAATGTTTTTTTTTTTTTTTTGGAATTCACAACGCCTGAGTATATCTGGACACGTTACAAATACTTACGATTCATTGGCATATAGCTCAGTTCCAGAAATTTGACAAGAAAAATAATTTATAGCTTAAATTTAAGCATTTTTTGGGGGTCTAGAAACTTAAAGAAACGACGAAAAATGCTGAAAGTCATATTTGCTGAGATTCTGAATATCTGTGTCTGAATTACAGGTGCCAACACATGGGAAATTAACAAAATTGTCTAAACACACCTTACAATGTTTGGTAGGCTCAAAATACTCCTTGTTAGATATAGAGGTTCAGAGAAAAAACAGATTTCTAACTGTTTTTGTTTTGTGTTTCCGTGACTGTAAGTGTAGGTATTTGAAAAACTGGAAATGCAATAAAAAATATTTTTACAGATTTTGAACAACTACATATGTAAAAATTACAATCTTGGTAACACGCAAAATTGGCCAATCATTCTGTCTAATAAGGAAATCACCTGAGTTTTAACTCCCGATTTTTTCTGAAAGTACGAAAATTCAATTCCAGAGAATGAAAGAACCTACTTGAAACCACAAAGTAGTGTCAATTTCGCCTTACGGAAAAGAAAACCGACATTTGCTAGTGGGACCTATTTTACTCCAGCGAAAATCGTGTGTTTAATCATAAATAGATCTGTTGCGCACCGTGGTAAAAAAAAATGCAAGTGGTCCTAATTCCACAGGATAGTTGCCTGTAGGCTAACTGAGAAGCAAAGGTCAGTCGAGCGCGGCGTTTAAAAAAATTTGCATATAAATTTAAGAATCAATACCATAAACAGTTATTGTTTGCCATTATAGTTTATGTGGGTGTTACTTGGTTTAAAATAAATTAGTACTGGTGGAAATAATCTCCGAGCGATAATTGATATAAATAATAATTAGATTTTTTGCGTACAGTTAGAATGACAGAGCTTATTATGGTCCCAATAAGTAATCTCTTTCGCTCCATGGAATCGAAAAAACGACAGTTGATAACTGTTACAGCTTAAGTTAGTCAATGTTTTTATCATTCTTAAAGCCCATATATCATATATGAATGGCAACAAAATTTAACAAAAATTTGAGACAAAGTAGAGATAGAAGCAAACAACAAGCCTGCATTTTTGTATTCTCGAACTATAGAACGATAAGTAAGAAACATGTAACTACATTTGAACCTGCATATTCAAATTCTAGTATCACATAACGATATGTCATATAAATAAAACATATGTTTCTTAAATATGTTATTCACACATTAATTAATCTATAGTTTCGTTATCCGGACTGGCAACACAATAAAAATATAGGGTAATAAAATATTATCCTATATTGTCAAATATCCTATGGAATGAAAATTTAACAATCATAAACTTAGTGTATGAGTACATCAAACATAAATTCAAATTTAAGGAAATGTGGAGGAAAAAATAATAATTATATATAATTATATATTATTAGTTTATAAAAGTACTATTAAATTAATAATGCAGTTATACATCATGCAATCAAATTTAACAAATGAAGTGACAATCAGACTCTAAAGTTAGTGTAGCCTTAAATACGTATTTAACAAAACATTTTTTAGTGAACATTTCAGTGAATTTAATACTTTTTTGCAATAACAAATAGATACTACGTGATTATTAATGTTAGCATGTCAGTTTGCAATTGTCAATTTTGATAGAAGTGCACATAGCAAACGTGATTAGAAGATGGCAACTACTAGAGATCATACAATTTGAAATATGTCACCAACTTGACAAAACAATGACAAATATTAATAGTCACTTGATATAGTCATGGCAAATAGCAGTGGCAGATCTAACTTTTAAAACCACCATAGAATTGCTATGAAAGTAGGGACTTCTGTGAAATAATATTTATTATCCTTCTGTTTATGAATAAATAAGACAGAGTACTAAGGACTGGTAAACCTGCTTTTATTATCCACCACAGTTTACATGTTATAAAAATTTAGACCATGGGCTAGGGAAGAATAACGGATAATTTCCGCTGCAGTTTACACGTACCCGACAAATTTTCAGTTTGATTCAACTAGACGGCCAATAAACATTGTTGGACACAAGTTAATATTTTAATGGTGACTTTGAAGTATGTGCTGTTTTAAATTTCTCCGCGCCCTAGTCCAACATTCACTTTGCAACTTTGCACTTTTCATTTTTAAAAAGAACTTTGCGACAATTTATAAGGGTAGACATAACAAAAATTAACAATTACTTGTAAAGTTCTTAGAAGTTTCACTTTTCATTTTACTTTGTATTTACGAAATAAAATTCGCATGGTGGAACCCAAAGTCAGTTTCAAAAGTTAAAAGAGGAAAGTTGCAAAGTGAATGATTGAATACAGCCCGCAAATGTCTTGTTAAATAAATTCAGCGATAATTAATTTTCGTACCTCACTAAAAAAACTTTTTTCTTCAGAAACTGTTGAAGACTGTCACATTTTACTACATATATTCATAACATAAATACGCATTTTGGGCTTTAGATACCCCACATCCGCCTTATTAATTGCAGCCAGAAGTGTTCCCCTTTTAAAAATAATGAACATCGACGCCACTGGATTGTGTCCCTCATGTAAAACAATAAAAAATCATCTGGCACCTGTCATTCGAAAAGTAGCTTTCGTGTTCTTTAATTATTCGGGCAAATGCTTCAAGTAACGAACGATTAATTAATATTGTACAAGGGGTAATTTTGTCATGAATTATTTCACCTGTGTCCTTGCGGTGAAGCTCCGAACAGGTGCTCATGTCCGTAGTTCCTGGTAGATGTCGCTAGTACACTGCGGGTTGCGTCAAAACAAGCAGTTGCAAGTTGCACGAAGAACAGTTCAGCTGGTTGTGTCAGCGCAGTCGCGTAGAAAGGTGGCTTGGAAAAGTTGTACTGCATTGTTAGGACCTCGGAGGTCGTTTCTCTGTGTTTCCTTTGGTGCTGGTGTTGTGTAAAACCCAATTACAAAATCCGTGCGCCGACCATTCCACCCATTATGGATAGCTAAAACCATCACCAGTGCAACACCCAACAGCTTCATGTCTGGCCATGGAGTAGTGTTGTGACCGTCGAATAAATTGCTCAATCCCATCGAATCCGCGGATTTAGGATAGCAGTCGAACCGAGGGCTAAACCATGTCCGGAAGGCATATTCCAGCTGATAAGGTAATCGTCTTTCGAAACCGCACCCTTCCTGTTCGTGTGTGTTAGACTGTGAAGACATAAGGCGACCTAGTTTGCGATTTTCACCCCATTTTTCGGTAAAGGGCGCCTTTGTATCTCCAGAGTTCGCCACCCACGCAAACCCATCACCTGACCCCGGGCCCCCATTGTGTCTTTGTGTGTGGCTTTCACAAATCATGGAGAAGTAATCGCATTTGCCACCCGCTGCTCATTAGAAAGTTGGCCGAAACCAACCAAAACAACAAACAGATTATGAGAGAACGACGAGTTTTCAAAAATTTACGAGTGCATGCCGAAGAAAGTTAAATAAAACAGCGGCAAGCCACTTCCGTTCCCTTAAACCGGATTAATAATTTAAACAATTCTTCTCTGGAGAGCCACTCTGATGGCCACGGAATATTTATAGCCGAAAAAGGCTGCTCTTTAATAAAAGACCGACTGCTCAGGAAATTTCTACTTTTCTGGGGCTATTTTAAGACGTACACAATTTCCCGATATTTTCACATGTAAACACCGCTTGCTATAACCAGGAATACAACTTAGCAACACGTTGCGAACTTTACAAATAAAAGTCAACAGTAAGAATATGACTAATTGTTTTCACTAATAAGAAATCTCATAGTGGCGAAATCACAGTTCCAAAACAAACTTATTTGATTTTTTGGGTGTCTGTAACAATTTCACAGCAGTTAACAATCTGAGTAAATTACTAATGTGAAGATAGAAATAAATTTTGCAGTATAAACATTGTCCTGTACAGGTACAGGTATCACTTTCATTTATAAATTATTATTTGTGACTTTCCAACAATGCAGCTTGCCTTTTTAATTTTGCATGGCGCTTATTGTGCTAAAAATAAATTAAACATAACCATTTTATGCGCGTGCATATTAAATAAAATTAGAATTCTGACGCCGCTGCGTGAATTAATGACCCATGCGGCAAAGATCTGAAAAATGTTATGACATGAAGTTTTGAAAATGCAGAAAACACACTTCGCGAATTGAGTGAAATTTCCTCAAACTTTCTTTACTTGAAGACATGCAAAAAATGTAAGTTTAAAGGATACACACAATGTTATTAAAAATTCTTGATGAAATTCGATGAAAAAGTGATGAGTTAATATATAAAAACTGACAAAAAAACTGGGACAATTTTGTGATGACGTTTTTGGAGAGGATGAAGAGACACATTTTGATTATGGTTTTACAGTCTTCACGCACTCATCATACATTATATAAAACTGTACAACAATCAGCCCAGTAGTTCTGAAGATTATTTGTTGACTAAAATCGCCAACAAATGACGGACAGCTGGTAACGGGGGACCAATTTGTCATAAAGTAAAACTATGATTTCACAAAATATTACATGTTAGCAAATTGTTGCATTACTTCTTAAAAAATCATCATTGAGGTATAATTGAAATATACGATAATGTGACGGAAGAAGGCAAATTTTCATTCTGTCCTACATTTTCTAAAATATTTCCACATTTAACTTGATAATGACAGCGTCAAGTAAAAAGTGCAAGAGGCAAAAAACAAACTCAGACTTTGACGTTAAATCAGTTTGTTTGTTGACACAAATGTGTTCGCATGTTTATTAACATCCAAGAAGTTGAAGAACTAGCAGTAGCTTGTTTTTGTATTGAAGATAAGTAGGAAAACACGGTTCTCCAAGTCTAATTGGTTGACTTGATTGGATGACTATAAAAACACGGTATATTGAAATATCATCCTCAATTTGTAGAACTTATCGTTTTCAAAGCATTGGTTACTAGCGTTAACACAAGTGGCAGCTGTTCAATGTTTATCTGAACCGATCATTAATTTTAAATATAATTTTCTTTATTTTCGAACTAAATAACATTTTTTATGTGAAAGGAAACGATTTTTAAAATGAAATATAAATAAATAAAACGATATTGTAGAAAATGAATCACTTCCATAGCTGTTTAGCATTTGTGGTAATACAAGACCGACAAAAATAACATATACAGCTCATGTGTTTTCGTAAGGTGACGTTTGTAATGTTTAACTTCGTAGTGCTAAAATGTTGACTTTCCATTAGAACTAATATTGTACCTCGATTAACGATGTTGTGGACTTTAATTAGAGCAGTGCATCAGAACTGTAAAGATTGTACAATTAATTGTATGTTTTGAATAAATTAAACGTCACATTGTTAGAACGAATCTAGTTTCTGTTGTAATACGTAGTCGATAGGTAAACAACAGGTTTATTTGAGTATATTTTGGGTATAATAGAATAATTAAATAATTGTTCAAAAAAAATTCAAACATGGTATGTTTATTTTCGATGCCCTAGATGTAAGTAGTTCACAGTCAAGATTTTGTAAGCTATTTAAATATTTGTAATAGAAAACAAATAAGTAGTATTTTAACAGCACACACACAAATAATGTTTTAATTTTTTATACGTGTTTGAGAATTATTGATTCCAGGAGGAACAAAACTTTCTTATCATATGTATTATTTTTTGGGAGATTTTTATGTATATATTTAGTTTTTTTGACGTTTATGTTGAAGAGTACCCCAGTAAATATTTAACTTATTTTGCGAGTTGTCACACTACCGTAATTGCATGCCATTTGAAACATTCAGATTTGTAAAGAAAATATCAGAATCAATCAAATATTGTTTCTTGTTATATCTTAAAAACTATGTGTTCATATTAGGAATCATAAGTTTTTCTAGTTCTTTCGTATTACTCTGTTTTTCTACTCAGTGTTTTTGTCCAATGACAGCTATAGCGCACACTATTTATCCATAGTCCACCTATGGCTGTAGACCTTGGTCACACTGTTGTGGTCGTGTGGGGCGCGTGAAACTTTCTACATTCAAAATTGATCTTATATAACCCATTAACAGCGACTGTACCACTGCACTTAATAAATCGCCCATGGAAGAAATATAAAATATTCATTAAAATAAGTCGGTAGTGGAAGTTGCGAGGCAGAAGTGTTCTAAAGTATACTGTTTTAAAAATTTGTGTGGTGCTTCGGTCGTTCTTTTTCATTAAACATGTTCTCGTTAATATATAATTTGCTATTGGTGTGCGTATTAACAATAACTTGTTAATTTAAAGGTCTCTAGTTTTATTATTTATCACGTGTGCGGGATTCTTGGTTTGTTTTCAATTATTCAAGGCGACCATTATGCGGCACCTGCGGCAAAGCGTCGCTTCACCCTACTGTCGCCAGATCAAAGGGACCAATTACCATCAGATTCCTCTCATGACTGAAATATCGACGTTTTTTGGTAAAATACCGACGATCGTAACAATTAAACGTGACGTGTGGACACCATCTGTCCGATGACCCACTTCATTCCATGAAAAAACCATGCATTGAATTTGTTAAGTAAGAGTGCGTTAATCGCTAAACTTACAGTTGCATAATGGAAAAATCTAACGAATCCGCTAAAGCAAGTGATGGAGATAATGATAAGGAAGAGATTTGGATTACTACGATTATATTGGTGATTATTGACGGGTGAGATGTGGAGGGATTAAATCCCGGAAGTCGATTTTGTACTCACAACACCGTTAGAATCAATCCCAAGTTCGCTCTTTGGAGAATGGTCGAATTAATTGAGATGTTGGAAAATGGAGAATTAGTCAAGTGTTGCAACAATAACTCTTGGTAACTGTAAATCGAGTTTAAGAGAGGTGGATAGATTGAATACGCATGTATTGATCTTTAGGATGCTTAAAACTTGTTACGATAATTTGTTACTTTCCGTGCCTGCAAGCGTCATGTTATTAAAACGCCAGTTTTAAGAGAATTTGTTAATTATGTACGTTTTAAAAGTGTTGGATTAATAACATTAATTTTAAGAAAACCAGTTATAGATTAAATGGTGTTTGACGTCTTCTGACGTCATGTGAACAGATTTAGATAAATCTGGTGATTAATTAATATAATGCAATAATGCACAAGAATTATTTTTTATTTAATCACAATTAGAATTGAATTGATGACAGTTTGATTGTTGATCTTTGTATTTCGAAAAATTGTGATAAAAGCGGTTCGTTTTCGCCGCGATTAAACTTGCTTAAAAAATATTTATTTTCGGTATGTGTGTACAACAGTGTTAATTGCACCTGCACACCGTATGTACATAACACAAACTAAGTAACCAAACTACGATATGTTTGGTAATCTAGAAGGTTATAATTATTCTATTTGTACAATAAGTTCCATTGATTAAAAATAAACTCATGACCAACCACTAATTTTAACAATTTTTGTTTGAGAATTTAAGGTGTAATTATAGACACTTGTAACGAGATTACATTATAAGCAGTAAGTGACTCACTGATAATGGAGTGTATTATTTAAATGAATGAATCAATACTGATAAAATTGTTTGAGTGGATTTCATTTATAAAATTTACTCGGACAAGTCTCCGGTAAGACTGCCGCGTTTGATATGCAACTGATGGTTATAGAATCAATACTGTCAACTACTGTTATAACTTATTGTTGTGATGCAATGCATGTCTTTATTGTAGCTCGTAAAACCGGGGAAAACATTGTTGTCAGAGGTTACATTAAAGTGGGACTTTTCAGTTTTCAAAAAAAATCCATAATGACAGTGATAAAAATTTTAATAGACTCCTGGTTTCTTTCTTCATTATTATGTTTCAAATAATATTTCAAGTGTTTTTTTTTTAATATAAGAAAACGCAGCGAAAAACGTTGTTTTATTAATCCATGCTCGTGAGTATAATTTACATTTGACAGAGTTGTTAAAAAGCGTTAATCTTATTATACGAAATAATGAGGTTGGTTTGTACCAATCCGCGTTTTTAGCTGTCATTTAAATTTCAGGTTTATTGTAGACATACGTCACAATATTTATAAAAAATCAAGGTCCTCTTGATGGTTTTTTCAATTGAACCCCGAAACTACTTGTTGATAACATACACCATTTATTATGCTTTCCACAAATGAAGC